AGGTCGCTGTCCAGATCGCTGACGTCGATTTCAGATTCTCCAGGGTCGGAATCTAGAGAAGGAACGGTACTCGCGCCTGGTGTTTCGGTGCCGCTGCGGGAAGGGGCGGTAGAAGAAGAGGCTTTCAACAGCTTTGAAGAAGGTGAAGGCACAGCATCAATCGTGCTATCATATGCGTCTGCGATGGCTTTCTTGCTCGGTAGGTCAAAACGAGGGAGCTGTGACTCTTCGAGGTCCATTGTAAGCATGTCGAGGGCTTCGCGGAATCCCCATAGCTGAGAGCTCGACTCATTGGGCGGAGGATTCTTCAAGAGCTGTTCTAGCAGTTTCTTCACTTGATCGGAAGAGACTTCTAACTTCAACAGCGCCTGTCGTAGCGACCATAATTTGAGGAGAAGATCGTCCTCGCGAAGCGTGCTCAGAGACCTGTCTGGTGTTGACACGAGACTTTCTTTCTTGGCCAACTCAAGCACTTCCACCATCAGCTCTGAAGGTAGCCAGTCTCTCGTAGGGAGGGGCGAAGCTTGGGCTCTGAGAATCCGGCAATCCGTCTGGACCCTAGTGATATGTCTCGCAGCATCCCTGTGGATTTTACTGCCTGTGGAGTCGACGATATTTTGAAGTTCATTTTGTTCCAGTTGTGCCTCAAGCTCTTCGGGAGTGAGACTGCTCAACTCTTTGGTATCTTTGTTCGAGTCTCCAGACTCTTTTGTTTTTGTTGGGTCAGTTGCATCGGAAGGGCCTTCATTCTTCGGAAGAGCCTCAGTCTCGAGGGTCGGATCGTCTTTCTTTTCTGGCTTGGGCTTGCTAGCAATCGAAGCTGTTGCAAAGCCTCGCGCAGGATTGCCAGATGCCTTCTTCTTCTTTGGCATAGCTCTCAGTTGTGGTCGCCAGGGTGGATGGGATTTGGATTGTGGGCGTTGATCGGCGCCGTGATCACGGAGGGAGGCAGTATCAAGCCTAGGACAGAGAATTCTTGGATGCTGTTCGACTGCCTCTCTGGATATGAACGGGAGTCGATGCTAGCTAGCATCGGGATACCCAAAGTCCAACTTTCTTTCGTTGGACACGTCTTTCTGGAGCTCATCACGGAAGGTGGACGATGACTGCAAATGTGGCTTCGAAGGACTGCGCCACAGCTGCCTTTAATTTGGTGAGCACGTGACCTTTATTCTAGCCATCTTTCAGAGAGCCTTGTGCTCCCAGTAAATGATACAAAGTGTTGGTGTAAGCTCGAAAATCTCTACAAACCGTTTTCTTACTTTGGATTGTGGTGGCAAGCTGAAGATTCTTCGTTTTCTACCAACTACCTAGATCGTCACCAGAACATCTCGGCCTGTCAAAAAAACATAGCTTACGAGCACAATATCGACTTCAATTAGATGCAGCTTCGTCGCCTCTTTAGCAGATAAAACATGAAAATCCCTTTTAAAAGAGGGAATTGAGATCCGCCCGGCATTATCTCATCTTTGACGGTTCCCTGCCGCCTACAATGCGCCTAGCACAAGTTTATTGGTTGCTAGATGTTGCTCAAAGACTCTTTTCTGATATCCATCGTGCAGAGTTCCTTTGAATGCCAGACAAATAATATGCTAAGATGGAAGTCTGCAAGAGTCCCATCGAGGATAGATGATGAGATGTGAGAAAACATCTATCCCAAGATTCCATTTCCAGAGGTTCGCTTGATTAGTGACAAGATGTCCCTTGGAGGCTCCTGGAAATCATTATCTCTTCATATCAATTCCTGGGCTTGAATTGCCGCCTACGAGGCGTCTTACTCGGTTTACTAGCTGTTGCACGGCACCCGGAGGCTGTTTTTTGATATCAAACGGGCCGGTGTCTATTAGATGCCAGATGTCGGATCAACTAAGATGATACTCTTGAAGTACCTCAACATATAGACGCGAGGGAACTTGAGATATTCTGTTCCTGTTCAGACTGGTCTCGAAGGTTCCCTGTTGCCTGCAAGACGCCTGACAATCTTGACTGGCTGTTCGACAGTGCCTGGAAGCTCTTCTTCTGATATCCAACGGGCCAGTGTCCTTTGTACGCCAGATATATAATTTACTGCTCGGAAACTCAGGAAATATCTTATCATCTAGACACGAAAAAGTTTGAGGCATTCTGTATTCCATCAGACTATTCTCGGAGGTTCCCTGCCGCCTACGAGAAGTCTCACTAGGCTCACTAGCTCTTAGACGGCGCCCTGATACTCTTTTCTTGATCTCCAACGGGCCGGCGTCCTTTGAATATCAAATATTTAATCTACTAAGTGGAAAGTTTGGAAGTATCTTATCACATAGACGTGAGGAGAATTGAGGAATTCTGTATCTCTTTAAACCGTTTTCGGAGATTCCCTGCCGCCTACGAGATGCCTGGCTAGGCTTACTGGCTGTTGGACGACGCCCGGGGGCTCTTTCTCTGGTATCTAAGGGGCCAACGTCTTTTGAATATTAGTTATTTTAATCTACTAAGAAGAAAGTATGGAAGTATCTTATCACTTGGACGCGAGGAAACTTGAGGGATTCCGGATCTATTTAAATCGGTTTCGGAGATTCCTTGCCGCCTTAGAGATGCCTGGCTAGGCTTCCTGGCTGTTGGATGACGCCCGGAGGCTCTTTCTCTGGTATCCAACGGGCCAGTGCTCTTTGAATACCAATTATCTGATCTACGCAGGTAGGACTCCATCGATCCCTATTGTTTAAACGTGAGGAAACGAACAGAAATCCGTGTTGGGAGGCTCGACTTTTTTCTTTAGATATCAGTGAATTGGCCGACTTCAGCCGTAGTGTGGTTAAATGTTCTTTGAAATTTCTGGAAAGTTGGAGCTAACTATTTTGAAATTTACTTCGAACCAGGTCCAACAGCTCCAGCCATGTCAACAAGATATCAGGAGCAAGCTCAACATGCTTGAAGGGAAATTCTCCACGGCATCAACTCCCTCGAGATGGGAGACATGAATGACGAAGTATCGTCGAATAATTATCACAGCGTGGTAAATCTATACTCCAAATATGGCACAATTGGTCTTAGGATGCCCTTTTCGGGGGCGGGGGCTTGCAGTCTATAGAGCCATTTTTCACGCGCGGAGTCGGCACTACCAGTCTGCTCTGATTGTTGGTGAGCCTGTTTGATGGTCTACTCTTGGCGACTACACCGTACTCTCACCTGGCAGAGAGGAGTGAGTTCGATTGATCGTACCTTGATCTCTGACGCATCCACTGCCTTCGACGCATCCACCGTCTTCGTCCCATCATCCACATCATCTTCAAACACACACGCAGATCGTCTAGCTCGCAAATTCCCTTAATTCCCACATACTTTCTCTTGGCCTACTCACTACACCATGGACGAAGAACACCGCCGGCCGCAGTACGTGACCTCATCCACCTCCTCTCCTCCTCGTCAACAGATCCATGACCACGGCCACGAAGACCAGGAAGAGCCTGAATTTTCTCGCCCTCATCCTTGGAAAGACTCTGCTTTTGCCTACACATCCTCTTCTCACCACCACACTGCCGCAAGCGACGATTGGTCACAAGACGCCGTGTTGGGTTCACACGGAGCAGAGACATCCATTTCTCGCGACGAACTTTTCAAAGCCGAAGGCCTCCGCGAAGCAAGCTTCAAACAGCGGCACAATCACAAGACGCGCTTGGAGTTTGCGGGATGCCGGATTTGCGGATGGGTCGCGGCAGACGATTTACGGGGTGTCGAAGAAGGAGAAAGCTGGCCGAGGATGCCGGGCGGGGAAGTGGACTATTGGGGAGATGGAGACGAAGTGTCTTGGCTAAAGAGAGATGAGGAGTACTGGGAAGAGTGGGTTGTGAGCGTCGGTCGGCGAAGGCACCAGCTCGCGATCCGCCTTGCTCTCTCGGCGACTGGCCGCAAACGATTGCAGCGATACACTCGGTCCTTCAAACAGACGCAAACGGAGGTACAGCGGCTGGGGACGGTAGAAGAGGAGAATGAGGAGGACGACGAGAAAAAAGGTGTCGAGGATGAAATTGACGAGGCTGGCGAAGGAGTCGAAGAGAGTGATGACATTGAAAAGGACGTGAGAAAGCAGAAGAAAGTGTAAGTTGCTTCATTTTGTCATGCTGTTCTTGACTGGACTTCCGTAGTTTAACAGAGCAAGCTGACATGGTTTTCTACCGTCCAGTTCAATCTCATGTACAGCAAGTGTGGAGCTGGTGGAGGAGCTGGTGGTCTGCTGCAGGTTTTCGCATAGTAATGGGGTGCGCATTCGCAGACTGATGGCAAATCAACATTCGGTAGCATAGTTGGAAATCAATTTCGCAAAAGTATACGGTCAACTTTCTCTGTTGTATCCCGGGAGATCTCCCTTGAGAAATATTTCCATGTGTTGGACTCGAGATCTGAATGTGCTTGCGCTGAAATCGACGGCGTCCGCCGATTACGCTTCCTCGCTGCAATTTATCAAAGAAAGTTTTTGATGAATGGGCTATGAATGTCTAGCCCAGACCGAAAATCATCTTAATGACTTTAGATGGCTTTGCAAAGGATAATGATGAAGTACCTAAATGTTTCTCTTGGGGCTCAGAGGGTCGGGGCGCCCTCGACCAATAACATCGGCCCGATGGTTGACCAACAGATGACCGATCAACGCTTGCAAACGCCTGAGCAACTGTCATCTAGCGAACTGGACCATCGATATTTTCATAGAGAGAATAATTTATGAGTCCATTAAAGAATCAATTGGCAAAAAAAGAAGCCACAGATGAAGTGAACGATGCCTTTTGGCTTCAGGGGTTCCGAATAGTCTTGCAGGGGAAATGAAAGATTTGCGTTAGATTAACGCAGACCCCGGTTTGCCCAGGCTTGCCCCGCACACTCTCCGTACAGAGTCCGCACTTCCTGAGACTGGGGTTTCAAGATTGACTTCATAATTTGCATAAAATCACCCAACCTCAACAATCGGGCTTGTGGTATGTTGGCAATCAACTTTCCTTCTCAAGACCACGTCGCTAACTTCCTTATCAGGTCTAGTGGTATGATACCTCTTTAGCAAATGCGACCTAGCGTCGTTTACTATCCTAGAGGTGGTCCGGGGTTCAATTCCCCGCGAGTCCATCCAAATCTTTTTTAGCCTTTTTTTTGCTCATTTCAGGCATAGCAAGCTTCTTTTTACCACATATGGACTTTGTAAGAGCCTTGTCAACTTGCTGAGCGCGAATCTTGCCTTAGATCTCTTTTTGGGGTGCTGGTTGACTGATCCTGGGTATCTACAGACGCTGAATAGGGGTACACCCAATCAATCTTTCCCTCTCAATTTACTATGTTCTGATGGTGACTACTAGAAAGAATGATTCCTCTGCTAGTCTTTGCAGCTCATTGTTCATTTAGACAATTTTATGAAGTACCTGGGAAGTATACGAAAGGGGTTAAGGCTGTTGTCGTGTCAAGGTTTAGGCCCAGCATATCACGTGGTCCAACAGTCATGTGATACATGACAACACATCCTGCCTGTTCCCAACTCTTTCCGCAACCACTTTCTCTCTCGGCTGCTCATGTACCATTTCGTCCATATTACGCGATAGCAGCATGGAGAATGTACTTTCGGCTACAACAGCATTGTTATAGTATCTTTAGCCAGTCGTTGCCTACTTATGGCGAAAGGATGGATGGTCTGCATTAAGTACTGATCAGCACGAATCTTGAAGATATAAGGAGCTGACTCTATAGTCATTCATTCAGCAGCTTTCAATCAATCCTCTTCTTCTCACACACGCCTGCGAGAACCACTGCGAGCTCCTTGTGGTGAAACCGCTGCGCACGTGACATCAGCCTTGAGATGTCGGCTGGGGAAAGCCTTTCCGGCCCTCGTGAAAGACTACCTTATTGAAAGGCTGGCAACAAACTGGTCCTCGTGTGTGGAACCAGCGTGTAATGCACACATTCATGCTCAAGCTTTGAAGTATGGTAAGAAAATTATCCGACGAATTCAGGGGGTCGAGGTATTCCCCAACATCGACCCTTTACGGATTCCGGTCCGTGAGCTTGGTGTTGTAACGTGATAGACACTTCATTGAGAAGCTGAAGTAAAGCAGGCTGTATGTGACTCCTAAACGATCATATGCCCTCTTCCTGTCACTCTAACACGCATCTTCCCTTCTTTTGTCACAGCTCGTCCCCGTCCTAGCGAATAGCTCAACCTCAGCATCTCCTCCAAACACAAATCACCCAACATCTTCTTCAAACCTCACCTGCGGCGGGTATATCTTCAAAATATAATCAACGTTGTACTCAGATACCATCTGGATCGGACACATCTTCCGGCAAACCTACCATCTCACAATATCACTACGCCATCATTCAAGATGTCAAACCTCGACCGATTCTTCGTCAGCCGCTACCAAGACGCCTACAAGCTGTTCGACACCGATGACCATGATACCTGCATGGAACTGATGCGAGAACTTCTGCAAGAGCCACAACTTTCCAGGGGTTACCGTCTCAAGGCATGTTCAGTTATGGCGGACGGCCTCATGCATCAAGACTGGGAAGAGGCGGAGAGCTGGCGACAACAAGCCGAGAAAGTCTACGCCGAGATCCGAGAGCTGTGGCCGCTCGGCTCTGAGGAAGCTCTGAAGTGGCCCAAGCAAGAGGAGGATTTGGTGCAGTCTCGGAAAGACCTCGATGAGTTGGAAACAGACATGAAAGCCGCCAAACCACAAGATGAGAATTGAACCCCGGACCACCTCTAGGATAGTAAACGACGCTAGGCCGACGATTACGATGCCTAGAACGTGGCTTTTTACTTCTTGGGAGTATCTACCTACATAATCAGCAGCTTATTCACTACCAAGGAGGACGGAAAACTGGAGCTACCACTCTCTCTAAAAGTACTTCAAGAGCCTTTCGCTAATGGGCGGTTGTAAGCCGAGTGGGACCAGCACATGAAAGGGAGGGGGAAACGATGAAGGAGGTAAGTAAGGGGCCGTCTTTTGGCGTGAAAAAGAAGAGAAAAGAACCTTACCAGTAAACTGCTAGATACCTAGTGAGTGTTAATTGACGCGTTAGACGCCCTCTTCATAGCCAGCGGCAAGTCATCTTAAACCTTTTCAATGCCACAAGAGCCTTCTATTCAGATTTCTTTTCCTATCAATGTAGTCCAGTGATGGGCTATCACAACTGTCGCTGTTCATTATGTTGATTGGGTATACATACAGATAAGCCAAAAGAAATCGCCGTTGAGTCGCGAACCCTGAATCCCATCGACATCAAACACATCGTCATATCATGCTCTTGAGCCCTTTCCCTCTCCCTGCCAGCGGATTATCCGTCCCACTCCACTCCATAACAAATACTGAACAATGCGCCTATGCAATGACCCATGCCACATCCATCATTCCAACCCACTCAGTCACGCAATCAGTCCCTCATAGGGAGCTCATTCCCTTCAGATGAGGAAACACGTGACCTAACCCATTCTCCCTGCCTCCCCCATCATCGTCACCCGTCTTCTCCAACTTCAACTTCCCCGGCTTCTCCGTCCCCTGCAACGCCGGCTTCGTCCCATCGGACCCGAAAATCTCATCCTCAAGCCTTTTCCACAGCTCTTGGTCTTCCCTCGTTGCGCCCGCAGCAGAATAGCCCGCGCCGGATTTTGCGAGCTCTTTGTTTACTTTCTTCAAGTGACTTCCGCTGAGGGCGAGATTCCTGTCGATATCTTCGCCAAGCTTGGTAACTTCCCTCCGCAGAGCGTTTTCCCTCGCGTCTGCCGAATCGATGTTTTCAGCAGGCGGTTCCGGCTCCTTGGGCGGTTGTGTGGGCTTGGGTATCGGCGGTGGTTGCGCGGTTGTGACATCGCCCCCCCGTGCCGTCTTCGCCCACAGTTCCTCCAACTCTTCCAACCAGCCCAAAGAACTGGCGAGCTGTCGCACTCCATCGTCGCACGTTCCCAGCAGAAGCACATCGTCCGCCCTCGTGCCCAGGTCGCCGACTTGAAACATGTTGATAAGTAGCCTGGGCATCCCCTCAGGCAGTTCCTGTGGCAGGGACGCAAAGGGTTGCACCTGCAGACTTGTCCCCATGACGATTGCCAATTGCGCTCGATGGCCCAGGTACATGTTGTCGAGGAATTCCATTGGAAGTTTCTCACCGAAAAAGACGATATCCGGTTTCACGAAGGCGTTGCAGCTATTGCAGCGTGGTACCTCCTCCTTCTCAACCTTCTCTCTCATCTCATCGTCAGGGTATTCGGTGAAGCATTCGATGCAACGCTGCGTTAGGAAATTGCCGTGAGCGTAGATCATCTTCTCCCGAGGAAGGCCGGCTTCTTGCTCGAGGCTGTCGATATTTTGGGAGAAGACTTTGAGGAGACAACCCTTGAGATGGAGCAGATGGAGAAACGAGTGTGTGATTGTGGGGCGACGACTGCCGGGATAAAGTGTTTTCGCCAGGGAGTAAAAGGGGTCGGGGTTCTCTTTGAAGAAAGCCAGGTCAAAGATTGCTTCGTTCCGCGGTAGGCCTTTGACCCTCAGCGTGTCGTACAGGCCTTTGCCTGGAGTGCGGAAGTCGGGAATTCCTGCTGAAGTGGAGATTCCTGCGCCCACGAAGACGACGATGTCGCTGATATGCCCATCTTTGATATATTTTGCCACTGCATCCAGCGTTCTGCTTTCGAGAATCTCCGGGGGCACGTTCTCGTCAATGGGAGAAGAGGCTTCTTGACCCATCTTTCCCCTCTTGTCGCGACCAGCTTTCCAATTGCCTTTGTCTTTGCTCTTTTGGTGCTTATTCCGTTTGTTGTTGTTGAAGCGTTTCGAGATCAAGTCGAATTCAAAGTCGTCGCGCTCGAACTTGCTGTGGCGGCCTATGGTTGCGATGGCTAGGCGGCAAAAAAGTGCTGAAGTGAGGATTCGGTGCACTGCGACTCAAAGATTAGAATGGAGCAGGCAGTGGAACGTTGTGCGATGGACTCTGGGTAGTGGTAGTCAGAAGCTGGCGCAGTAGTGTCTGGATTGAATGGTGAAGGTTTTAAGCGGCGCTAGAAGTCTCTTTATAGTGGGAAGTGAAGTTGTGGTTGTCAATATTTAGACATGGAGTCACATTTAGGTAGCAACTCCGGTGGGTTTGCGGCACAGGCCTCTGACACAGGCGGGGTGCTGCGGTCCACCTAAGGACCACCCTAATCTACTATAGAGCAGTACCTTCCTACTTTCGCTGAGCCTATTTCATCTCACCTCACAACAGTAATGTTGCCTACCTCATATAACAGCTTTCAACGAACGGCTCCCTGTCCTCCGAACTCGTCAAACATGAAAATATTTTGCGTCCAATTGCAGGTCTGGCTTTTGGATCCCTGAAATCAAAAAAAGCTTGGGATGCGAATCAGCTCCTGAGTTCAAGTTGTCTTCAGGCATTTTGGGAATACTCAGATACTCTTTGTGATCAGCGTATCCTAACAAGTTTTCATTTTCGTGTCCTCCGGATTCCCGAGATATCTTTACTTTTGCTATGTTCATGATTTACTCAAACAATACTTTCGATCTTGTCAAGAACGTCGACAACCTGAAGACAGAAGGCCTGTTGCGGCTTTGATCATCCTTGCTATCGTCTTTAATTTCTGAGTCGGTGCTTAAACAGATCATAACAACCTACTGGTACCGATTACACATCTTGCCGCCTAATCTCCTCTAAGCCTACTTTGCACTGCCCTCGAGTTAGCTATGGATCACGCGCAGTTCGATTGTTGTTCAATTCCAGGGCGTTTGCTCCCTGCTAGAGGCCGATTCGAGCAGGAGGGTGCCTGTCGTGGGATCAAGCCTCACTCTCTAGCCCTGTCTCTTCTCTGCCTGCCACGCCTTTGCTATGAGATTCCTCCTTCATTTTCAGTATTCTCTCAAAATTCTCTTCAGCTCTACCTCTAGTTTGTTCCATAAAGGGGAAATCAACCGGAAATACGCATAGACGGCGGGTTGAGTCTAATGAATGTGATGGGATCGGTGAGACATAAAGCAGAATATAAGAGCAGGGCCATACTCGTTCTTGAAGTGCTATTGGCAAGGTCAATCAATCAGCAGAATGCAGATGTACAACATGTTGGGTTTGTGGAGGGAACAGG